ATGCTGCCCTTTTCTGTTGAAGCTGGGCAGGAGCTGTTAATCCCACATCTCATTAAACATCGCTATCATTCTGATCGGTTTTACATATAACTTTTACTTTCAACTTCACGTGATTCCATGAAGGCGAATGTACGTGTCCCAGGATAATGTGGCATGATCTAATCTGGGTTGGTCACCGGAACCAAAGATTTAGTCTTCCGAGATTTTGGACTCGTGCTGGGGCCCAGCCTCAGGGAACGCCTCTCTCGAGTGTCACGTTCTGCCAGTTCCCTGGTCCCGGTGATCAACCCAGACTGGATCCTGATTCCATTCACTTAAGTGTGGCCCAGTTTTGTCATGTTTTATCCAAGATGTGTGGCAGTTTTCTTGCTTGATCTGTTTTCTCAATTTCTCAGTTTGGATACATAAAGACCACTGACCACAATAAAAATACTGATGAGCAAGAGGAAGATGAAAAGGAGGAAGGCTGGCCTTTCCCTTCCTCTAAAAGCCTCTGCTGTGAGCAGGTGGGAAAGTGGCAACTCCCTTTATCTCTAACCTGAAGTAGAAATCAAGATGATGGAATCTCAGCAGAAGATATTTGGGTTTGTCGCACCGGAAGAGAAATGATCCAAAAATGGAACTGAGCCCAAAATTTCTGTTGCTAAATGAGACAGTTGTTAAGTAAATTTTGCCTCATTTTACAACTTTTCTTGCCACAGTTGTTAAGTGAATCACTGCGGTTGCTAAGTTAGTAGTGACTTTGCTTGTGGGAAGGTTATAAAGGGTGACCCCGTGACCCTGCATAACCGTCATAAATACCAGTCAGTTGCCAAGCATCTGAATTTTAATCCCGTGACCGTGGGGATGTTGTAAGTGTGAAAAATGGTCATTGATCACTTTTTTCAGTGCTGTTGTAACTTCGAACGGTCACTAAATGTTGTAAGTTAAGGACTATCTGCAATTCAGTTTATCCCATGGGTAGATAACAGGCACCTTATCGGTGAGATGGGTGGCTTATTAATTTAATAAATAAATAATAAACAGACCAAACCCACAAGAATAATTGAAAATAGCATAAACATAAATTAAAATGATGCAATTGCCATCTTTACTTATTTGACACCCCCCACACACACACACCCCTCTGCAGACACCCTGGGCTCACAGCTGAAAGCAGAAAAGACTCCGTCTAATTACTCACTCTCCTCGGTACAATCATAGAGATTGGCTCAATTAATCCTTTCAGTGTGACGAGCTTGTAAAATCGAAACACCTCACATGCAGATACATCCAGGCCGTGCTTCGGCATTACTCCTGCATGTATAAAATTTAAGGAAACAGGACTTAATGAAAAATTTCTGTCTGAGTTGTGACCACATCTTTTGATATGGCATCATAGCAGCCCCACAATAATTCTCTTCAGGTTTTTTTTTACTGTCATTTAGTGTTCCCTTACTTTTGAACTGGAACTGGAACTACAGGTTCTATGTTGAATCAGCACAGCTGATTCAGTTCCTGACTGCAAGCACAAGTATCAGGACTAAGCATTAAGTTCCAGTTAAGCTGATTTATTGCTCATGCCTCTTCACAAGAATGTAGTCAACTAACAGCACTAAATTGGTGCTTGATAAGAGTTAATGGGATTTGGGAGGGGCTGGACTTGGACCGTTTGTGGCAACATAATGACTCTAGGCTTATTTCTCTCTTGATTTCACTCCCAGGCCCTGCCTCTCCTTCTCCTACATTGGCTGAATTATTGTTCTTCTATTCATAAATCCTCCACTGAAGGAGGAAAAGGAATCAGTCCCACATCAGTGAAAGGAAACCTTGAGAGTTATCAAGTCTGTTGGGGCAGGAAGGAAGTGGGAATAAAGACAGGAAAGATGAAGATTGGAAAACTAAACTGAAAAAAACATGGCGAGAGAGAAGCTCTGAAAAACACTGACTAAAAGAAAAGGAGCTTGGAATGACTTTGATGAAATATATCGTGACAGAAGAAAGAGACCACGGAGTTCTTGATGCTCTCTCAGCTTGGTTNGGACAGTTCCCAGGGAGAAGGGTGTTCCCTGGGCTCCTCCAGATTTCTGTTCAGTGTAGTGAGCTTGCATTTCAATTGCACACTCACTGTTTATCAGCCATACTTTACTCAGGAAAACAAAGGTAAGTAATAATGAATTCAGTTGCTTTCATCTGAGCTTACAGTATTTTGTTTTTTCATCCCTGGAATAATCAGGAATGAAAAATGATTTTGTAATTTTGAGAGAACGACAAATAGCAGTACACTCCTACTTACTTCAAGAGGAATTTGGAATATATACGTCCCTTGCCTTTTCATGCAGTAGTTCTCAAGTTAAATCATACAAATAACTTTTTAGTGCTAGGCAATGACCACAGGAGAACAGGCTTCCAGTTAGCAGGTGTACCCGTGTGCTGGCACAGGGTCTCTGGCTCATATCACGTGTTAAGTTGATACAGTAAAATTAAAGAGTGGGTATAAACAAAGAGTTTGTGTTAAAAAAAATCCTTCAGAGTCCATTGTTTTGGGGGCTATTGCGCAAGTTTTTCAATTCCAACTGTAGCTGTCGGATTTTGATGTCTTTCTGCGAAAGCTCAACCTTCAGTCGACGGATCTCGTCTTGTTGCCGGAAGAACATTCGGAGGAGCTTCATGTAAGACAAGAAACAGAAAAGGATCGAGTGTGAGACTGAATAGGTTGGAACAATTGCAGCCCTTGTGCCGCAGGATCCGAGACGGCCCCCTCTGTAGCCTTGGATCACCTGTTCCCAGAGAACCTGGGAAATTTCGCTTTGCATGGACAGGAATGGAACTGCTGGGGACCAACCTGCAAGCCTCCGGCAGTCCAGACACGGCCCGGTGGACTTGCCCAGGTTCACGGATGGAGAATCCGGATCGGAGAGAGCACAAGGGCTGTTCCTTACCTCGTTCTCTGTTCTGGGAGGCACATTTTCCAAGAGATCTATCCCATTAACAACAATGCTCTTCTTCGCTCTTATTGGTGGTTTAAAAACTACTTTGGACTCTTTCTTATAGCCTTCCTTTAAAGACATCAATATGGGATCTGAAAAACAATATAAAACTCACATCTCAGGACAGGCACCAATGGGACAATAAAAAATAGGAGATACCAGAGCCTCCACTCTTAGGACTATTATTTTTACCAGCAGCACAATGTCCACATACAATTGAAGGGGGGGACTTCTATTTTCCAAATTCATTATGAATGCATGTCATGACTTCTGGAATTATCAACCTGTAGATCCAGTTCTCTGTGGCAACTACTCCACCATTCCCCATAATTTTGAAGCTGACATGGCTGCTATCTATATTATCTGTTTTTTTAAGCTCCTCCTGTTATTAGGATCCTTGTTGCTTGGTGATGCAGGCATTCTCAATTACCCAGAATGATGAGTAGCTTGACATCTACTCCCCCCTCCATTGAGATTTCTAGGCCTTGTTCTCAGGAGAGCCAGACTAGCAGATTGTCCTGGTACTAGGGAAGATGCTGAGTCGATTGCATAAAATATTGTTTGTGGAAAATAATTAAAAAGGGATTTATTTGGTCCTCCACTGACCAGGGGCTGCCCATATAAATGGGTGATTTGGGCTCATGGGGTTGTGGTGGGGAAAACAGGAGGAGGAGGGAATTTAGATATGCTCACCAATGAGTTATTTATAAAAAAATAACAATGGGATAAAAAAAATCTTAAAAATTTTATTTCTTTTTAATGATTATAGAGTGTTGAAGAAAAGCATGGTTTGAAATTGCCCCCATTCAGAGGGGACAACACAGACTAAAGTAATCACCAAGCTGGTTCAGAGGAAGGTATGAATCCTGGAAGAGGTAGACACAGAGCATCACAGGGCTGGAAGGGAACGGCAAGGCCTTCTAGCCCACCCCCCTTGCATCCCTGACAAATGGATGTCCGATCTCTTCTTGAAAACCTCCACAACTTCTAGAGGCAAGCAGTTCCACTGGTTGATTGTTCTCACTGTGAGGAAATTTCTCTTGGAAAGCTCCAAGCTGTTCCATTGATTCAATTAATCAATTGTTCTCACTTTCAACAAATTTTTCCTATTCTTTAACTCTTATCTTGAACAGGTATTGACATAATATATTAGAAGTCTTATATTTGAAAATACTAGGAATATCAGCATATTTTTACAATTCTTCCCTTGATGACAAATCTGGAACTATTTTTTAAATGCAGTTGACCCTAGAATCTTCCTAAAACCTTGACCATGCAAGACGGTTCAGCTCAGGTTATGCGTGATGAGGCAAAGGCCAGAAGATCAGCTGCAGGTGCCAACATGCTCACCCCTGTTCATTCCACTCAGCCACTCGTCTGGGGCGAGGGCAGGTTCCGGACCCGGAGTCATTGGGTAGATATCTTCCTGGTATGTTTCAGACTAAATCAGAAAGAAGAGAAACAACTTGTCTGAAACCCTAAGCTGGTTCCAATTTGCTAGGTTAAACTCCAAAAGAGATTTGCATTGAGGATAATTAAACCAAAACGGTTGAGCCCTTTCTCCTACAGTGGCAATCCCTCCCCAAGAGGAACAAGTTACGGCCATTTCATTGTAGTGGGGAGTTTTGATTTTTTTTTTCAGACAGCCATTTGGGAAGAAGTGTGCATTCCAATATTTTCAAGCATACCAATTTGACTGTCATTAGTAAGATTGAATCCAGTGCCTGGATATACATTTTCACATACTGGACTGAACTGCTTTTCTCCTGGACAGGTCTAACTCCCAGGTCCTTTCTGATACACAAACAACTGGAATTTCTGAGTGTTTCCTTAACTCAAGTGCACTGCTAGAGAAAGGAGGCACCAGAGCGGTAATCGAGCAACCTTCAAGGACATTGGCTTTCAAGCAGACCTCACATTCCTCCCAAGAGGTCATTTAAAGGAGGTCTGTTCTATTATGAGCAATATTCTGTTACGTTCTTTGATGCTGCCCTTTTCTGTTGAAGCTGGGCAGGAGCTGTTAATCCCACATCTCATTAAACATCGCTATCATTCTGATCGGTTTTACATATAACTTTTACTTTCAACTTCACGTGATTCCATGAAGGCGAATGTACGTGTCCCAGGATAATGTGGCATGATCTAATCTGGGTTGGTCACCGGAACCAAAGATTTAGTCTTCC